ACCGCGTATCGTCATTCTGCAAATCCGCGTAACTAACATTTTTCTGTCAAAAATTGGACTTGTTCACAAAAGCTCTTGGCTAAATCCTTATCTATTCGTCCTGAAATATGCTAGCCAGAAATGCAATTGCTCTATATAAAAAGAGAACCATTTTGAAATATGAGAGATTTTACTCTCTAGCAAATAATTTATGAAACCTCACATACGCGGTTTTGCATTATCTTTATACGCGGTTTTGAATTTTGTTGATACGCGGTTTTGTACTTTATACAACGATATGTATGTACATAAGCATTTTGTAGGTATGCAATTGTAATAAAATTTTTGAATATGTCAATGTAAGGTATATATTTGCTGTTATTAAATGATCTAAATAATAAAACTGCTGGAATATTTTTAAACTTTTCTGCTTCTAAGAGCATTTAGAGCGTTTTTTTTTCATGTGTAGAAAATAAATTAACCTTTCATGTGGCAGCCCGAATAGAAGTTGTTGTTTTATTCTAGCCGCTTTGGTTTTTACAAGGTTAATAAAAAAATTAATTGTTGACATTATTTATAATTACTCCTCCCTCAACGAACTCGTAAGCAAGATGTCGAATCCCTTTACTTGTCTTCGTAATTTAAGCTTGTTACAAAATTTGTTATTTTCATCAATATTTAGAAGCATTACCTTAATAATACTTCCACGAATCGACCGACTCCGGATTCTTTTGCTTACTCTTGCGTTCAATTAAACCAGCCAAATGTTCGGAGCGCATCGACAAGGAGTCAATCTTTTCCACAAGCTGCTGATATGGACTCAGTGGTTGAGTACCCATCACCACATGACCCAGTTTTGAATCGATTTTGGCATTTAAACGCGCATTACGAATTAAATTTACAATCCAGCATTCCGCCTCATTGGCCTTCATGTTAAGCTTGTCGGCAAGCATGCTAATAGTGATGCATTGGTGAATACGACAGAAAGTTTCGAAGATCATAAGGCGGGCATCCTCGACGAATTCGTTCAAACATGCGACAATGAAAAAGTCATTTAAAATTACTGTTTGGCATTCGTGCAACTTCAGACGAGCGCCTTCGAAATCGAAATTCACGTACAGACATTCCAGGAATTCGGTAATGGGGTCACGGTAAGTATATGATTCTTGCTGGATCACCTTGATGAGGTCCTTGAGCGCATTGCGGCGTGTACGGTTAATGATGACGGCGGTAGCCAAGTAACGCATAATGTGTGGACACATTGTCTGTATAGCATTTAGGTAGAGAGGCTTATATAGGAACATGTCAATAATTAAATCGCGTCCCTTGGGATGGTTAAAGAATACCAACACAGACCAGTGGATCAACCATGTGCGTTGTTGAAGCGCCTGAATTGTTGAAAAGTTGGCATTATCAATGTAGTCGCGCAAACGTGTCAAATCTTCCAACGCTGTGTTCCAATTAAGGGTCAAAATCTCGGCAGCCAATTTTCCCCACAATACATTCAAGTAATTCTAAAAACAAAACACAGGTGCGATCTTATTAAGAGCAATTCATTTAGGCACTTATCCATAACAAACCTTATCATTTGGTGACATTACAATCAAGCAGAAATATAAGTACGAAGTTGATTCCTGGTAGTTACCACACTCGTACAAGTACTTTGCAAGCTTGTATGCACTCTCCAAATGTTCCACCTTAAAGTTATAATCCTTTTGCAGAGCATTGACGAAAGTTTTGGAATCTTTCATGCTCTCGCCATTTTTAAGAATGTCTGTTGCTTTCATAATGGGTGCTACCTCGTTTTGCAATTGCTTTAGTGTAGCCAGGACCTCAGCTTTGCGTTGGATCAATTCCTCTGGCATTTCTTGACTTAGATTCAATCGTTTGCGTGTATCCATAGTATAATCAATCATGTTGGTTTTGTTTACTGTCTCGAGGATGTACTCCAACAATGCTTGCTGATTGTAAATCTATAATTGCAGAAATATAAATAAAAAAAATTAGCATCAACCAAAAACGAAGGTGTTCCTAACCTCTTTTCCGCACAAGAATTCCAACAGCGGGAAAGTAAGATGCCGGTCTAAAAACTGACAATTAATCCTTGTTAAATCGAATTGCGCCATGTTGTATGTGTATTTTTTAAAAGCTTCGAATTAATTTTCCAATAATTTTCTTCAAATTCGCGTAAAAATTAACGTGCTGACTACGTTGCGACGTCGACTTTTGGCGAGAAAGGTGCCAAAAAGAAAAGCAGAACAACACAAAGCGACCTCTGGAGGAAAAAATTCAAAAAAATAGAGATGCCAACACCCAATTCTGATTGACTCAAAGTTTCAATCAATTTCGGTATTCATGCGCGTTTTTTAAAATTACCATTGACATAACAGAAAGGATAATTCTACTTTGTGAGGTTAATAATGTCTAAGCGCGTCCGATGGCCGACAACGCAAAAATACTGTGGGCGTAGGTGAAAATTGCGATTTTTGGCAAATTTATGAATGGCGGTTCATGCCCTATCTAAAGGGGTGGAAGGTTCCACGTCCCCTACTCCTTCCACCATCGCCCTTATAGGAAAATTTTTCCCATGTGGTAAATTAGAAACTCAAGCATCTTTTTAACTTTAAGTAGGAATGTCATAATTTAAAAAGATTCGGATTTAGCGTAGCCCACAAACTTTTACTGCGAAGTGTTCGGTACACTTTTTATAAATATTTTGTCTAATTTTAGATTGTTCACATTTCTCCGAGGCTTTTTAGACAGTTTTTCCCTAAAAACAAATAAGTTTAATTGAATTGCACCTAAAACGTGAGACATAATTTTATTACAACTTATTGGCATTTTCAAAGATCTTAATATTAACGTATTTTCGTAACCATCCCCGCAGCTATGGTGACGCCGCCCACTCGCAACATGAAACGTCCCAACTCCTTGAAGTCCGCATATCGTTCGATGCAGATTGGACGCGTTGTTTCCAATTCCACTAGAGCACACGAGTTATTTCCGAGTACCCGTGGTTTCTTTTTGATAGTCTCTCCAGTGCTTTTATGTAATTGCGCCTGCAATTTGCTCAGCACTGCCGGTTCGATGAGAGACTGATGATGTAAGAGCACCGGATAGCCAATAGTAATGGGCACGGTAACGTTGAAGACAAGAATACGCGCCTGGAAACGAGTTGTAACTGGTATGGGATTTTGCGGGTCGCAAATGATACAACCTACAGACACGGTGGACATATCTACGCCGGACAGTGTCACTGACACTTGATCACCCGCAAAAGCATTTGTTTGCGACATTTCGTCGATTTGTATTCCCTTGACTTGGGCCTGTTCGCGACTTGCACCTACCAGCACGCGATCGTTAACACTAAGCACACCAGTCTCGATGCGGCCTGATATACAAAAGCCAGAACCAGTGCCTTTATAAATATCTGACACAGACATACGAAATGGACGATCAATTGATCTCTCTGGCAATTTAAAATTATCTATAACGCTTAGTAAATGTGGTCCTTTGTACCAGGCTTTTAAAGCGGGCTCCGTTGCCGGCTTTGACAAATTTTCGCCGCTTAGACCAGAGCATGGTATAAAAGTAACGTCAGACTCTTTAAAACCAGCTTGCCTGAGAAAGACTTTTAGTTTACTAACAATTTCATCAAAACGCTCTTTAGACCAATCGACCATATCCAGCTTGTTAATGACAACTCCCAATTGGTTAACGCCTAATGAGCGTACAAGTAAAGCATGTTCACGTGTTTGACCGCCTTGTTCGAATCCTGCTTCGAATTCACCACGCGATGCGTCCACTACAAGAAGTGCGACGTCAGCTTGAGTAGCACCCGAAATCATGTTTGGTATAAAGTCTTTGTGTCCAGGAGCATCCAGAAGTGTAACTACCTTTGTAGTTGTCTCAATGCGGGAATACCCAACATCCATGGTAATGCCTTTTGAATATTTTGTGTAATTTCGCAATGGATAAAATTTATTATTGATATCTATTCATAATAAATCATACCTCTTGAGCGCTCTTCACCGGTTTCATCCAGTACCCAGGCGTACATGAAACTCTGTTTGCCCATTTTCTTAGATTCTTGCTCATGCTTGTGCATGACTCGTTGCGAGACGTAGCCGGTGTCAACCAATAAATGTCCCATCAATGTGCTTTTGCCTACCAAGTTATTAAGTGTATAATAAATCCACACGCCTCCCCGTAAATATTTTCTTAATTACCTGCATCGACATGTCCGATAACAATCATATGAAAATGCGCTTTTTGTTCACCACGTTCCTGTGAGTATAGTTTTCGTGCATCGCGTTGTGCTTGTTCTTTGGATACCTTAACCGTTATTAGACTTTTGTTGGCTTCTTCATCAACAGGCGTATTTCTTCCAGATACAGCTGGGGATGCTTGTGGATGAGGTGAACTAATTTCAAAGCCACGACGTACATCGCGCTCACTTAACGGTTGCGCTGTGACTTTTATTATTGGTGTGGCCTGTGCAAAAGATACCGTTTCGCGATCAGGTGTTTTTAGTTTTGAAGCAGTGGATGTAGATGCTTGAAGTGCGGCCTTTTTTGATGTACTGGTCTCGTTTATTGGTTTATGCCGCTTGGCTTTATTGTCACATTCGTTATTTAGTATGTCATCAAGTATTTTCGTTATATCATAGCCAAAGTTTATGGAAGTCTCTACTATTCTTCGCTCAGATATCTGATCTCCCACAACATTACGAACTTCATCAATGCAGGATGTAAGCTTTGCTTGGTCAACATCATTCAATACTGGCAGCTGAAAATTATCAGAGTCTCGACGATCCTTTCCGTATGGAACATTATTTTCACCCATCTCCTCTTCCTCCTCCTCGATATCTTTGTTATTTTTAATAAACGCAGACATACTATGTTGGCCACGAGCCCTGTCGTATAGCCACTGCTGCGCGTCCGTCGGTGAGATGCAGTTGTCATCGTCAACGGAATGGCCGTATACATCATCGTAGCCTAAAATATTAGGACAAAGGAAGAATTTATAAAATTGTACCATTTCTACAGAATATCAAAACTCACTGTCGTATTCGTCATTGTAATCCATTGCCCGCACAATTCTATGGCGCGACATTTTGGTCAATTCTTTTTATGCCACACCACAGTCTCAATTTCACAACTTATTTATGTATCGAACTGTAGAAAAAATTTTAACAAATTTGTGAAATTTTGCCACAGCATCGAAAACAAATATAAATATGAAAACCTGCAACTAATGGAAAACATGCGAAATAATTGACAGCTGACAGATTTTCCATTTCTTGTTAAAAGGGTTGCATTTATTTTTTAACCCTTGGCAGCGTTAAAGGAGGTAAACGGGTGAGATTTTTAAAAGGACGCTTTATTTATAGAAAGTGTCTGCATCTTGAAATATAGCCAGTAAGTCTGAAAGGTTTCGATGAATGTTCTTTCAGCGTTTATCAACCAATTTTGAGGTTGTTCACACTTGCCTTGTTATCAGGTTTTCTGGTTAAAAATTATTATTCTGTAGTGTCATTTTATTGTTGTAAACTGAACAAAAAATGTAACCACATAACCAGATAGACTGAAAACGAGGAAAGTGTGAACAACCTCATCAATGGTACCCGAAATATTTTTAAAATAAACCTTGCAACTCTGCAAATACATTAAACTGGCCACACACGACGAAAATCTGCGCGAGCACGCTCGCCTTGCGGTGCATGTTCGTCGTTCAGAAAATTTTGATTTTCAGTGAGCATGCTCGTCGTTTGTGGCGTGGGTTGCGAACATTGCATTGGATCAAAAACAACAACCTCATTTTGTGTTGATGTTTGTAGCGTGCAGGCAGTTCATTTATCAAAATGGTAGATTTATAATTGTATCAAGTTTATCACTTTTGATGAAGACCGCTATTGTTTTTTAAACATTTATGTTGTGCCAAGAACGATAGAATACAAGATTGCGCATTCCCGCAGAATGACATTTTTGGCAACGGGTAAACAAAGAATATGGCGAAGAACAATGAGTTGACAGTTGTGAATTTGCAGTGAGAAAACGTTTCACCAGAAACGATTCAACAATTTCTCAAGCCATCTTTGAATAGAGCAAATTAAGCTCAACGTTAACAAAAAATATACAACCACTCTTGAAATGTGTTCAAAAGAATAAGTCTTATTAATTAACTATTAAGAATTTTTGTGTTTGTAATGCAGGTGCCGAAGAAAGGATAATAAAAAAAAATGAAAAAAACTGCATTTGGTGGCTTTACCCCTACGGCTGCTGCAATTCAACACACGACACGACATTTTTGTAAAGTTTTTATTACAAATAAAACGTTTTTTACAAAAAGTTTGTTTACGTATTGCCATAAACGTCACAGTCGGCAAAACCAAAGTAGCGCTTTCGGGAATGCGCCACCTTCAGTTCATTACACCATGATGTTGTGCTATATCAAGCTAATGATATCGCTTATTGCAATTGTTTCTATACCACATATAGCCTGCAACAACTGATCGCTAGCCTAGTCACCTATTACAGCCCGTCTTCACATGCTTGAATGTCTCGCTTGCGAGACGAAGCATGCGAGATCCCGCACGTTTAGACCGCAAAAAGTTCGAAGCATACATTTTCTCGCATACCCCGCTGTCAAATGCCCGGCCAACAAACCTCTATCTGCCATCCCTAAATTGGCGCGTCAAGCGCCAAGCAACTGTCAAAAATCCTCATGCCCATACAATATGTATGAAGCATCCCACAATAAGGCTACCTGCACACTTGTCGTCCAATCATAGTTGAGTTATCGTCTCGCCCTGAAATTTTGAGCCGAGCACATGCATTTCAAAGGAGATCTGCACACTTGTCGTTATCGGCTTGTTATCGGCAAATCGTAGAAGATGCAGAAACGGATAAGTCCGGCACTGTCGTTTGCTAATCGTTGTGCACGCATTGTTTGTTTACATTTTATGGTGAAAAATTAGTGAAAAAGTTAATATTTGCATAAAAATTGCATAAAAATTAGTATTTTTTGCATAAAATCTTTGGAAATTATTAAAAAGTGGATAATTGCATCAAAATTCAATAAATGTGAGCGTTTTAGCTATAAAATATTACGAAATTGTAAAAAGTCCCTGTGTGCATGCACAAAACACATTTCAGGAAAAGACAAGAAGAGATGTTACTGCAAAATGATGTCTAGAATTGTTGCAGCAAAGTCTATATTTTAAAAATTGCAGGATTTCCATGGTATAATATAAGTATATTTTTTTCTCAAAAACATTTATGGAGTTTTCTATTAAAGAATTTTACAAAATGTCACAAAAATCGAAAAATGCGTTCGATTTATTTTCACGTTATTGGTACAAAACGGTGAGAAAATTATTATTTTTACCACAAAAAATTCTTTAACAAAAAATTCGCACATTTATGGAGTTTTCTATTTAGAAATTTTCAAAAATCGAAAAATGTTTGTAACACTTTCGATTTATTTACCCGGTTTTTGTACCAAACAGAGAAAAAGTTTGATTTTTCCCGAAAAAACTGTTGGCAAGAAAGTCCAGTACTTACGGAGTTTTCTATTTACAATTAAACAAAATATATCACAAATATCGGAAAATGTTATATAATATTTTCTATTTATTTTCACCTTATTTGTACAGATCACGGGAAAAATATATAATTTTTTCTCAAAACAATTCTTTTTACAAAAATATCCAACAGTAGCGGAGTTTTATATTTACAAATCTTCACAAAATATCACATTAATCAAAAATTGCTATATGTCACTTTCGATTTATTTTCACATTATTTGTACAAATCACGGTTAAAAATAATTTTTTTTCTAAAAATGAATTCTTTTTACAAAAAAACCGAACAGCACTGAAGATTTATATTTGAATATTTTCACAAAATGGCACAAAAAATAGAAAATCGTATATAACATTTTCGGTTTAAATACATTTGTTTGTACAATTCACAAAAAAAAAATGAAGATTTTTTAACAATTACTTTCACAAAAAAATCGACCAAGATTGACACACATGCATACATACAATCATATCGTCGTTTAAAGTACAAAACCGTGTAACTGACATTGGCTGCCAAAAATTGGATTTGCTCACACAAGCTCTTGGCCCAATCCTTATCCATTCGTCCTGAAATATACTAGCCAGAAATGCGATTGCTTTATAAAAAGATAACCATTTTGAAATATGAGTGTTGTTATGCTCTAGAAAATAAATTCTACAACTTCACATACGCGGTTTGCATTTTGTTGATACGCGGTTTTGCACTTTAAACGACGATATATATGCATAAACACAAACTACTCACCCAAGTTGAGGGTGGGGATGGCTCCCCTCTTCAATTTTTTTCCGCCCATAGCCTCGGGCTCGAAGTGGTCAGCGCATACGTATGAGTTTCGGGGTGGTAGGGGCTCCGCATCGCTGATACCCAGGTTGTCCCTCCATTTCTTCGCCTCCGCCTTGACCTGTGGAAAAGAAAAGAAACGCACGCCCTCGTTAAGGTTGCGACAATCGCGTACGCGACATTTACGTCTATTTTCCGACATTTTTCCCGTCTGATTTTAACCCGTTTAAACTTTTTCGATAAAAATGCGCTTTCGGTTTTAAGAATACATTCGCTTCTGCCGAATTCCTCGAAATTAGAAGTCCGTTGACTTCTTTCTTTTGCTTTTGACATTTTGCCGCAACTATATTAGAATTTATAATCTAATTGGCAAAGATCAATAACAAAAGAAAAATAAGCTTGCGAAATCAGACCACCTGTACAACCGTTTTTCCGCCCTCGAACTAACATTTTCCAATTGCATTACATACTCAAATCTGTTAGTTGGGCGGTTCTCACGGTCTCACTGTTAATTAGTGGTGAGTACGCGATTATTAACAGCCGTACGCCACCGAGTGGTGTGTACGCGATCTGAACCAGTTGGAACGTAAATCTGCCATTTCGATGACAATGCTGCTTCTCTGTATTTAACGTTCTCTGGAAAGAAAGAGAAAGGACAAACAAGTGAAAGAGGAAACGAGAATAAAAACGAGAGGACCTGAGAAAACGTCAAAAATTACGACGCGTTGATTTGGGGATAGTGCGCGCTGACACTCGTTGACAATGGATAACGTAGCGCTCCAATTTAGGGACGGCAGTATCTCGCTTGCGAGAGAAAAAGTAAAAAGCGAGCGAGATTTTCAAGCATGTGAAGATGGCGGATTAGAAATGGTACCAAATTCATGTCAGTGGTATTTCATTTTCAATTCCAATTCGTTTTCTGAGTTGAATTTTCGCAGCAAGGCGGACGGAGAAATTGGTTTTATCGCAAGTGAATTATTGAATTTTTGGTTTAAAATTTAAATAGTGCGAATATTTAAGCATTGATTATTAATATACAAATTGTGTGCAAGATTAAGATGTATTCAATTACGTGATTACAGAAAATATATTTTTATGTACACGCATATGGATGATGAAAATAAAAAATAAACGAGTACATAACTTGGTAAAGTGCGAAGAAATAAT